GGGAAGGAGGAAGAGTATATGCACTGCTGGGGATTCAATGCAGGGCTCTGGGCATGTTAGGCAAGTGCTCTATCACTGAGCTACATCCCCAGCTCTTTTTAATTTTCATTTTGAGACAAGGTGTTGCTACGTTGTCCGGACTGGCTTTGAATTCAGGGTATTCCTCAGTCTCCCAAGTAGAGATTAGGGGTGTGTGCCCAGCTATTTTTTTCCTCTCCCTTCAAGGCTAGAAAAGCATGATTTGATTAAACTAGCAGCAACTCCATTGAATAATTTTTTTTTTGTACCAGGGATTGAACTCAGGGGGCACTTGACCACTGAGCCACATCCCCAGCCCTGTTTTATTTAGAGGAGTRTCTTGCTGAGTTGCTTAGCACTGCACTTTTGCTGAGACTGGCTCTGAACTTATGATCCTCCTGTCTCAGCCTCCCCAGCTGCGGGGATGACAGGTGTGCACCACCGCACCTGGCTTTCCCTGAACAGTGTTTAAGTAGGAAGCTTATGTTGCTTAGTGAAAGCTGAGACACACCGCGGGGGGGGGGGACAGCACTTCAGGGGAGACAGTGGGATCACCTGCCGCCTCTCTTGAGCCTCTCGGAACGGAAGTTTTCATAGTGAAGGTCCTGGGTCACCTCCTGGAGGTCCTGCATGTGAGTGCTGGAAGAGAAAAGGCATACACAAAAGTAGCTCATGCCAGCCTCAGGGGGACCACACCCCGCTCACAGCGCCCTGTGGACCATGTGSTAAGGGTGCACAAGGAAACTGCTCACCCAGCACAACAGCACCCTTAGACCATGTCGTAAAGGTGCGTAGGTTGCTGGAATCTCCCAAGGAAACATGGCTGTAGAAATGTCTAGTGAGGTGTGGCTCTCCTCTGCTACCACAGTCAACAGTGCACCAACACCCAAGAGGCCTGGTGTGCCCTGCACTGTCCTCTGCCATAGGGAATGCTAGTGCCTACAGGAGTTCATGGTCACTGGAGAGACCAGATGCAGAGAGGTAGAGGGTTTTAGGTGGATGATGTCCAAAGTAGAATGCATATTCTAAAAGATCTCTAGGAGGAACAGGCAATTGCTCTTTTATCAGAGTAAGATCCCCTATTTTTCTTATGGTGAATGGTACTTTGGCCCAATTTTTCTAAGCACTCAGAGCAGACATTCCCACTCAGTCCTGTTTACGCAGGATGGGGGGCTCACTCTGAGAACACACATCAGTGCTGAGGTGGGGATTGTCTCGCTCTGTGCTCAGGGTCCATGCCCCACAACGGGGGTCCACAGAGCCCAGGGCTGGACGAGTGTTCCCCGACGACTCACAGTGCATCGCATCATTCTAAAGACAGCCTGGATGGTCAGAGCTCACTGGCTTCCACTTGCTAAAAACTGCTATGCTGAGACAGAGGAGCACACACACCAACGTTCAACTCACCCAAACCCCTCTGAAGCCTTCTAATAGACACAGATCTTAAAAAAAACAGAAGGCGGCACCAAGAAGGGGTGACCTAGAAATGCTGAGCGCTGCTGTCCTGCACATGCTTCCACACGGGAGCTCAAACATCACACTGCACCCACGAGCAGGTACAAGTACACATTAACAAAAAGAACTGCATCTCCGGCAAGATGCTTTCATTCAGGAATAACGGTAATGGACATAGGCGTAAAGCCTATTTCTCTAGTCAAGTGTACTGTACTTGTCAAATGAGAAGAAAACGCAATACTCAGGGGGCCACCTAGTATGACTCAGGAGCACTGGGTGCCAGCTGGGTCTGGGGTGCTGCCCAGCACCCACCAGGAGCCTGACCATCTCCCTGCCAGAGCTGAGGACACGCAACCATAGTTTAGGTCCAGTCTCCCATTAGCATTAGAGATCTGGGGATGGTGGAGAGCACAATGGATAGATACTTAGATACATGTCACTGAAGAGGCGAGGACACACAGTGTGGATGCACAGCCCATGCCGGCTGCAGCTAGCGGGGGCTGTGTGCACCCACCGGGGAAGCACTGCCCCCTGGCCCACCTTGCCAGGGGACACCCAGGCCTTACATGAGCATCGTCCGCAGCTTCAGAAAGTCGTTGTGCTCGGGGTTCTCCACCTCCACCACACCCCACGGGTAGAGGCGCCCTCGGACCTTCTTGCCTTTGGCTTCGATCAGCTGGTTGGACCCCACCACAGAGAACGGGATGCTGGCCTTGAGGAGTCTTGTCTGCTCTTTAAAATCTTCATCTTCATCTGACTCTGCATCAGGTAAGTGATAGATTTTGATGTTATGTTCTTCAATTTCATCCAGAATCTGAATGGAAGACAAAACCAGGTCAAGTCTAATTCATCACATTAGAAATATATCAAAATTATCCAAATGTCAATAAGAACCAGAATGGTTAAAGTTATTCTGAAACCATTTTATCAACATTTAAAATGGTCCTTAGGTGTGAAATCTTGCAATCTGACCTATCAACCAGGCCTACAGGAGAGGAGAGATGGGGCTGGAACTGAACCAGCAGTCATCCCTCAGTCTCAGTGAAGAACCAGCACCCTGTGGCCACTGTGTGCTGGGCACGGCCCCAGATGCCACAGGCCTGCACCACCATGGCCAAGTACACACGAAGCAGCCTGCCTCCTCGTGGCTGGACTGGCTCTTTGATTTCAGAAGGATACAAATCCTTCTGTGGCTTGGGTCTTGTTATCACAGATCTTGCTCTCAACACACCATCTTTCCCAACTTAACTCCAGAGAAGACTCACCTCTGTACACCCTATACTTGACATCTTCCCCTTTCCATAAATCCCTATTCCTAAGTGGGACGAACTGAGCAGTCGGCATGGACTTGCTCTCCTTTTGGTCCAGCCCTGAAGATCYCACTTGCGGCTCCACGCTGGCCTCCTAAGGCCAAGACTCACACTGGACAGATGAGATGTGAGAAAGACTGAACAAGAAGACCATTTAAATTGGAGGAGAGGCGCCAGGAAGCGATGTGGGGGTGTCTACAGGCAGAGAAGCAGGGAGGGCAGAGCTTAGCAGTGCAAAGTGGACTCCTGGCTGCACAGGAAGAGGCAAGATCCCTGGAAGGACGCAGAAGCCAGAGATGATGTGATCCTAGGAGAACCCAGGACACATCCTGGAGGGATGGCGGTCAGCGAGCAGGGAGGTAAGGCAGGCCGAGAGCACAGCAAGGCGGCAGCCAAAGCCAGGGAGGGAGGCTGCCAAAGCCACGGGGCAGGGCTGGAGAAGGGCTGCAAGAGAGTCCACCACAGCTGGGGGAGGACCAGAGGACTGGCAGAGGTGCAGGAACTCATCTCATCTCAGGCCCTCAAGGTTTCAGGCACAGAACTAGGGATGAGAGCCAAAGCAATCTAACCCTGACACCCCTCTCCTCCAGCTAAAGGAAAGTTAACACAACAATATAGAGAAGGTGTCAATTCCTTCACTAAAAATGCTCATTGTTAAGCAAAAAACATCTAAGTTTTCAGGCGCTCTYCCAAAGCCCAAACATTTCCTAAAAGACTGGTAGGTACTTCAGATGATACGGAAAAGGGCAACAGCACTGACCACATACAGCTTACAATCTTATTGTGGCAAAAACATACAGTCAAACTAGGAGAGATGATTTGAACACGCCAATATCTACAAATCCTGAGACTCCCTGAAGTCAACGAGAGGGCACCAAGAAGACACCGGTGGACACTGCACCCAGCACAGGACCAGCAGCACTCAGGGAGATGAAACCCACAAGCTCCTTGTCTGAGGTGGGCCAGCAGACTCCCCTGGTGGTCCACCACCCCCGCTGGGGTGAGCACACAGGGTGCTTTGGGAGAGTAAAGGGCTGCTCACTTGGGGGGAAATCTGCCATCTCATGGAAATCCAAGTTCACATTCAATTCCCACAGA